CCAAGGTTGGTACAGTCATCAGGATTCAAGGCCAGAAAAGAGTAGCTTTCGGAGAGGTTTAAGGGACTATGCTGGCACTGTAACAAACCTGGGCACAAGAGAGCTCAATGCCGGCAACTTCAACACAAGGAAGATGCCACGACAGGAAAGGCTACTACCCAGAAAGGTTGTTGGAACTGTGGAGAGCAAAGACATATGAAGAAAAAGTGTAAAAAGAATACTACTACTATGTCAGCTTTGGGAAACCAGTAGTGGTTGGTGTTGAGGGACGCCCACCAGCCCCCATTGTGAAAGTCCCAACAGCTAAGTGTAAAATGCCAAGCACACATAGTGTCTACATGACAGGAAAGCTGGATGGCCAAAAGTGCAACTTTTTCATAGATTCTGCATCTCAGCAAACCCTTGTGAGTATCAAGGTGCTAGATCACAAAGGAGTACCAGAAGCCATACAGAAGCTCTGTGGTGTAACAGGACATTATGCAAGGTTGTGGGGACCAATATGGGTAACTATTGAGCTCATGGGCATAGAGGACAAACACGAAGTATACTTGGCTGACATTGAAGACCAGTACATATTAGGGTTGGACTACTTACTACTGAGGAAGTGTGTAGTTAACTTTGATAAAATGACGTTTGGGAACAACAAAGGCCAAATTCCGGTAAGTGTTAAAAGAGAGGTTGAACTAACCAGGTACCATGAAGCTGAAGTCAGAGTGACTGAAGGAGTTGATGATGGTGAAGTGGAACAGAAAGCTAGAATCCCATATTGATATGATGAAAGGACTGGTGTAAAATTTACCTAGATGAGCTCCCTTCAGAAAGCACCCAAAGAAACCTATGGAGTGTGACACCCAATGGCAGGGGTTCCATAGGGGTACACTAGTGGGAGACTGCATCTCATCTCTTCCAAGGAACATTCTTTTCCCAGAGTAGATAGGAGGAAGAAGCAAATGAGTCCCATGTGTCACGGGCAGAAGAAAAAAATGTCTGTCTGAGTACTTGGACACTAGAGGTTGGAGAGCCAATATCTCTAGTATGCACCTCCACTCTACCATCAGACTTATTGGACCAACATCGGGAGTGGTAGGAGTGCCTCAACTCTACTGAACAGGCTTACCACAGGAGGATGGAATGGTACAGAAGTATGTGTTCACCTTGACTCCACTGGACAGTTGCAGGCTCTAGAAGAAGGGCAGATATCTTAGAATATGCTTGCATCAACTCTACTGGACAGTTGCAAGCTGCGGGAGGAGAGCACAGTCTGTGATGTGCTCATCTCAACTCTACTAAACAGTTGCAGACTGCAGGAGGAGGGAACAATAAATTTGTAAGTGCTCCTGGCATATTGTTGGTATAATAATATGAGAGGTGATTTGTGCTACACTGAGAGTGTTACCACCACTTCATTTCCCACTGATTGCACTCCTTGTTTCGGAGCCAACTGTTAGATCCCAATCAGTGAGAGTTCTCCATGCTCCACCACCCCAATGGCCAGGAACTTTTAAATGGTAAGAGTCTCCCTTGCTCCACTCAAACAAAATGCTCAGATCCACATTGGTCCTGTTTTAGCCTCAAAAGTCATTTACTGGAGACAGTGCAATGGGTGACTTCATATACTTATTTTGAAAAGCCACCAAGGGCATGCCAGGGTAGCAGGCAGAGCATCCTCTGGTGCTGACTTTTCCGTGATAGTCCATGGAATAGGTAAGGTCTGGATCGGACAGTACTCGGATATCATAATATATCACAAGGACACAAAGTGGCCTTGCAGAACACTCCATCTCAACATAGGGCATATAAGGAGCCAGGGTAGATTGTATGAGTACTTTCCATTATCCTGGCTCAATGCAGAAGTTTGAGAAATAAGAGAACCCTGGAAGGCACCACCAACCACCCAGGGTGGGATCCTAGCAGCAGTGCTAGAAAAAAATAGAATGTATTCACCTCACTAAGGATGGTGAATAGACTGGAAGATAGCAGACAGAGGTATGCAGTAACCCACAGCTAGGTGGTGAAGACAAAGGTGTGAGATGTAATCCACATGCCAGCCTGGAAGATCTCATCAAGCAGTCATTGGAAACAAAGGGCGAGGGAATGGGTGAGGTGGCAGATTTGATAAGAAATATGGAAGAGTCTGCAGGTATTGACCCCCAATGAAGAATATACCTAATGGAACAGTTAGCAGACCT